GATTCTAGATTCATCCTCTGAATCACTTGCTAGAGGGTTAGTTTCATGCATCCGAACGGTGTCCCAACCACACTCACTTTAATCGGCGATACGAATGTGCTTGTTTCTCTTTTTTAGAGACTCGGAACATTCATTGACTAATTCTGGAGCATATTCCTGCTTGCCGTTCTCTAGCGCCCAAATAACTTGTGAAAGGTTCTCAAACAATTCAGTGTTGAACTGATGCTGAATTTTATTTCCTTCAAATCGCCATTTAAAGTCCTGTTCACATTTAAACCTTTTAACAGTTTAACTTCTGACTTCAAAGACAAAGAATTACCTCTAACTTCATCCTTCAAAGAGTTTATTTCATGTCTTTGTTCACGTACCTCGGAAAGTAATTCTTTAATGCTGCTAGATAAGTCCGTGTTTTGCTCTGAAGTGAAACTTTCAGACAACGTGGTCATGTTGAGTAAATGTACATGTACGTGTAGTAAATTAAACGCATGTATCGGACAGTCAATCCCAAAGCTGAATGACATACACACTGAAAAATACGCACGTGCAAAACGTGCGCAAAACGACACCTATCGGAACTACGTTATCAAGGGAAATCAATTTTTCGACTAATTCGCTTTGCTTAAACGTCGAAAATTACATTTGTCATGTACGTATTGCATAATATACGGCCCTTTACACCTCCGCATTTTAAATTTCAGACCTATTTATAAAAAATTTATGTAGAATTCCGTACACTTCGGTATATCTGCAGTGGTCATAATGTCATTTATGGCGGAATTTTAACACAAATTTCAGCATTAAGAAAAATAAAACAATTTCCGTTGAATACAGCAGCATTTAAGATAATGTATTTGCCGTTGGCTAGGAATAACCCGTAACAGTTGTCAAGGATACGCAGCGAACGGTCTTTGTTGGTCAACTTTGACGTCCTGTACAAAAATTTGAACTAAGGCTTTTTCTCTAACATGTTATGATAAGACATTATATTTTAGCTGGATTAAAATGTTATTTCAATTAAACTTATACATATCATACACGTTATCTCAGACCGCGTATAATTTATTTAGATACTATTAATTTTTCTTCGGTTTTCCCCTGATAGCGGATGAAAGCGACTTCATAGTAAGTGCTATAAATTTCACTCTGTCCCTGCTGGTATTAATAGGTAAGTGTAATTCAGGAAATACAAGAAGTGTTGAAAAAATAACTTGGTTTTCATCGTGCTTACTCTGTATTTTGTAAAGGCATTCAAACAAGAAGAAGTGTTCATGTATATTTTGGGAAATAAAAATAACCAACGAGTCATGTATTCACCCGCTGGAAGTTCCGGAATATACCGGAAAATAATATTTAGTGTGGTGCTCCAACGCTGTCTCACTCCTTGCGAATGCTTCCGAACAAAAATAGTCCAAGTATATATAGTTATCATTGCGATGAAACTTTCTTCTATATCAGTGAAGTTAACAATTTTGACATAAAAGTAACAAAACGCAATTATCTAGTTTTGTTAACAGTTTTTGATGTAGGAAGCCATGTTATTTTTGCGCGTTTCCGTTCTCCACTGTATATACGGCGCACAGCCCGAGAATTTTTTTTGTTTATATATTATCAGTAATCAGCTTATAGTTATAATAATAACAATAATCAATTCAGTTGGAAAAATTGTGACCTTTCATTTTCAGTGAAATAGAAATTCAAAGTAAGCTTGAAGTTGTTGGACAAAAATATTACAGCTTGATCGAATTTCAAATCTATTTTTCAGTAGATAAAGACAATTTTGTATCTTATCTTGCAAGCATATATACTTCAATGTATACCATGTTATACAATAACAAGCAACTGCTACTTCCGTTCATTATTACCTTTTTGGAAGCTTTCAGGAAGAAGACTTGATTATCACAAACACAATTTAGACGTTTAATCCCCGGTTACTATTACATTCCGATAAGAAATCTTACGTATGATGAGCGCTTGTTCGTATCATTTACAGTGTTTTTAAACAAAAGGAAAGACCGACACTCTCTTTACTTAATATAACCATACAACGATTGGCGCACTTGATTGTCTTTGATTGCTTTAGCAATAGTGATGATATATTCTAAGATATGTATGTGATACTCTCTAGGATTTAAAACAGAAAAACGTAATGCCTATTTAATTTCCATAAGAGCTAAAGGCGTATGTTATTGTAATTTATTATGACTGTGTCATTCCGACGGTGCACCGTTTCTAATGTGTCTCTTATAACAACATGTGGCAGAATCAGTGTTTGGACACCCACCCCACCATGCCCCTGGATCCCTGCTACAACCCTGAAAAAAAGAATTCAACAATCTGATTCAATACTCTGAGTCTTACTATATGATATCAAATACAAATGAGCCGCGTCATGACAAAACCAACATAATGGGTTTGCGGCCAGCATGGATCCAGACCAGCCTGCGCATCCGCGCAGTCTGATCAGGATTCATGCTTTTCGCTTACAAACCCTATAACAAGTAAAGAAACTGATAGCGAACAGCATGGATCCTGATCAGACAGCGCGGATGCGCAGGCTGGTCTGGATCCATGCTGGTCGCAAACACATTATGTTGGTTTTGTCGTGACACGGCTCATTTAATATTAAAACAAATCTTAGCTAGAAAGTGATGGTTTTGAAAACTCGTCCGAAGTACTGAAGTTACACATCGCAACTTTTCGAATTACAAGATAACGATAAAAACCGAGATATTCTGATTGAAAACGGAAGCGTAGACTGGTGTTCTGCGCACTTATATGGGAACCATAATTGGACAGGGGACCAGTATAAACGGAAGCAGTGAATAAAATACCGAATGACAATTTTAAAACGGAAAATGTAAAATAAAAAATGAACGTTTATTTTATACTTTTTCGCTTTAAAAGTAAATCAAGCTCGCTTTAAGGCTTTGCCCTTTTCATGTAAGTTATAACTGTAATTTTGATAGTGAGATATTTTTTTTTTAAATTATCGGAGGTTTCCCTCGGGACGGATATTCCGGTCCGAAGCTCGACATATGACAGATATTAGTATTCTTGCATAGCAGACTGGCGTTTCATTGAGTTTTACCGATGCCGGAAATTTCATCTGGCATGCGAGTGCGAGATGAGTCGCCTGCCAAACAACAAGGTCATTTCAGCGCACTTTATGAATGAACCGCGTTAAAATGTAGTCGTTTTAGAAGGGAAATATGTGCTTAGGATGACGTAATTTCGCCGTTGTTTTTTAAGTTGTAAGTTAATACGCTATTGTAAGAAAATAGTTATAGATGAAATGACTTAAATTTCCATGAACATATAATTTTTAGGAAAACCTTTTTAAAAATGAAATAATGGGAGAAAATCAAAAAAAAAATTTTGACATTGTTTTTCCCGGTTGGGACCGGGAAAATCCGTCCCGAGAGGACCCGCCCATTGTGCGATAACGAGGTTTGACACATATTATTTATCTATAAATGTGTAGAAAACGTAAAGATTATATCATTATGTCACTTTTCTATTCCGACGTAAAATGCTTTAAAAATGTGCATGGTAGTTTTTCAGGTGTTTTTTTTTTCAGTTTTTTTTTTATTATTTTTTTGAAACCTACATATTTTGTTGATGAGTGAAAATAGCACCGAAAGATACAAAATGTATAATTTATTAAAGAGGGAAGTAAAACCGTTTGCATCAATGATCGAAGCAGTCGTTTATCTCGTGTCATTGGCAGTTGAACTTGACAAATTCGTGCTTTAGTTTAAACAAGTTTTATTGCATTAAATACATGTTTACAAAAATATTATACAAATAATGAGTATATATCAAAATGCAAATGGGTTGGAGACAAGTTATAACAACATAAGATTAAGCTTCCCTTCCTGCTTGATGCAGAGTGGTGCTGCTCTATACGAAATTTGCACGAATCTTATCGTATCATTAAAATATTTAATTCTTTAGAAATGACAAATATGTGTTTAATACTGTTTTAATAATAGATTTAGAGTATATAAAATGTTTAACAACTTATGAAATTTGCGCTTTATGTGCAGTAATGTTTCGTAAAGGTAGCCAAAATATAAACAAAGTTGTATTTTTGACTTCCATACAAAATGCTCATTTACTATGATTATACCCCTTTCAACACAGACAAAGAGCAAAAGAAAGTTAATGTTTGTGGCAAATGAGATTTTCATATGTAAGTGTAACGATAACAAAAACAGAAAGTTTTTTTTAGAAATAAAAACGATAGCATTTCTAAGGCCTAATAGGCCTTTAAGGGACAGAGAGACGTAGGGCTGGCCAAATACTGAGTTTCTTTAATTTGCGTCATGTATAATAAATGAGCCATGTCACGACAAAACCAACATAATGGGTTTGCGACCAGCATGGATCCAGACCAGCCTGCGCATCCGCGTAGTCTGATCAGGATCCATGCTGTTCGCTAACAATCTTTATAACAAGTAGAGAAACTGATAGCGAACAGCATGGATCCTGATCAGACTGCGCGGATGAGCAGGCTGGTCTGGATCCATGCTGGTCGCAAACCCATTATGTTGGTTCTGACATGACGCGGCTCAAATGTACTCATGTAGTACCAGCCTAGAAAACACCAAATTCATGAATGGTATAGCAATGGTAAAAGGACTGACAATATCAGCTTATTAGCTCTGTGTTTCTTCCGATTTGTCAGTAATGTGGTCTTTATATAAAGAGAACTGCTGAATAAAAGGGTAATGTTATATGATTCTTCATTCTAGGGAGAGTATTGCCATAAACAGATATGTGATTCTAAAAATGGTAGTTCTTATCTTCTCAAGGTATTATTATATTGTGTTGCTATGTCGTGTGTACTTATGTATTTTGTCTTTGTACATGTACATTGTAGTACATGTATAGTGTACAAAACTAGAAGATTTCAGAGTTCCAGATAACGTGCGTATCGGCGTATTTTACGCTTCAAAATCAACTAAATACGCACCATATTTCAAATTTGTTGCGTTCATTTACGCACGCTAAAAATTAAATACGCAAAGAATGAAAAATCGAAGCGTATTTGATGTGTACTTTCATTTTCGAAACAGCTGATTCCATTTCCGTTTAACAGTTGACTGTGTATCTTTTTCCGTTTAATACCCGCCAAAATACTTCCAACTACTTTTCATTCTGTAAACCAGTCTAATTATGTCTTTATCGCGTGGACGCTTGGTAAAACGTGTTGCTTGATTTCCTTTACAATTGCAAGCGTTTATTAATAAAGACGTACATCATGGCTGCTTCAAAACCAAAGCAGAGGAAAATTGATAATTTTTTTATCGCGACTGAGTTACCCGCTAAGGCAATTGTAAATCCAATTGTTGAAGACATTTTAGATAATGTATTTAAAACAAAAAGGGCGCATATAACTGTTAATCGCAACACAACACTCGACAATTGGCAAAAAAGTTATCCGTGGCTGCAAATTTCAGAAACTGGTACTGAAGTACGAATGAAATGTTTGACTTGTTGTAAATTTAAAGCTGGCAATGTATGGGCTAATGAAGGTGCAATTAACATACAGAAATCGGCAATTGACAGGTGATAATTTGTAACGTTATTGTTTATGTAGTGTCACTGATTTTTGTGGTAAACAATATAAAATAAAAATTAAGAATATAGTAAAGGCCTTTCAATTGAAGTGAATTCACGCTGAATATCTGCTAAATTTTTCAAAACTCTTTCAGGAAAATACATTAATTTAAGGAGGGGGATAAATACAAAATAAATATCTAAGATGTATTTTCATTAAAAGAATTCTATTTTCAAAGGATCATATTATTTCTTTACAAATATATTTTGTGATGTATGTAATAGTATGCTCTCTATTATCAAATGCTCAGATTATGTGCATATAGTGGATGAAGCCTTGTCAGTGACTTGGTATCATATAAATGTAATTAGTATTGTTATTTTTTCAGGCACTGTGCAAGTAAAGACCACATTGAGGCTCAGAAAAAAGAAATAAGAAGTGCTACTATTTCCTCGGACAGTGAGAAAGATGATACTTATGATGACTTAGAAAAACAAGACCTATATCTCTTTTGTTCTGTTTATTCCCTTATGAAAAACGAAATTCCACTTAATCAGTTAAATGCCATCTTAGAGTTGCAGAGACTAAATGGAGCTGAAATGCCTTATCAAAACTTAAGTTGGATACAATTAAAGAGATTCAAGAAATAATTTCTGAAAACTACAAAAAAGATCTAGTCAGTGAAATAAATACCTCTATTTTTTTTGCTTTACTTCTTGATGAAAGTACAGACATAACTGTAAGTAAAAGATTGTCAATATGTGTCCGCTATGTCAAAACTGGTGAAGCATTTACCTCTTTCTTAGCAAGTGCCGAGATAACAGATGGCTGTGCTTACACTGTTGTAGAAGCAGTCCATAATATTGTAACTTCTTTGGGTTTAGACCTAACAAAATGTGTGTCCTTAGCAACCGATGGAGCCAGCGTTATGATGGGCAGAAAAGCTGGGGTAGGTGTGCAACTTCAAGCTAAGTTTTGTCCATATATGATTCAAACTCACTGTATTACCCACAGGTTTAATTTGGCTATAACAGATGCTATGAAGAACAATGACACCATGAAAAAATTCAAGGAAATGTTCCAAACTTTGTATAACTTTATGTCTTCATCAACTGTAAGGATAAACACACTTAAATCTATGCAACAGTTGTTAAATGAGCCAGATATCACAATTAAGGAACCACATTCAATCAGATGGCTTGGCCTGAAAAGGTCAGTTGAAGTTGTATATGACTGTTTTGGATCATTACTTGCAGCACTGTCTAATTTAGCTACAGAAAATGCTTCTGCCAAGGGTTTGTTCAAGTATTTTTCACAATATAAAACTGCATTGCTTGTTGGTCTTATGCTTGATGTTCATACAGAGTTAGGAATTCTTAGCTGCCATCTTCAAGAAAAAAGTCTTGTTTTTTTCAGATGTTTACCCATTGATTGAAGGTACTGTTGGCAAACTTGAATACTTAAAGTCAAATGAAGGAAGTGGTTTACATGATATGAGAAAAAGTATTGAAATTTCTGAAAATAATGAAGCATCCTACAAAGGGGAGACTTTGAAAAATTACAAAAAAAATCACTCAGACAAAGAATTTGAAACCGTTATATTAAATTACATTGACAGTTTAATAAAGAATATTAAGAAGAGGATTAGGAAACATGATTCAGAGATCTTAGCTAGTCTAGGTGTTATATTGGAGCCTTTATCATACACATTAGACAATGAAAGTGCTTTGAAATGCATTATGAGTTTATATTGTGAACCAAAAGTTACCAAGATAACTGTGGATGACATTACTCATCAAACTCATGTTCCTGCCTTACTTGATGGTGACAAACTTATGGAGGAATGGCAGGCTGTCAAAGCAATGTCACAGGGGTGTTATAGACAACTTCACCTTCAGGACTTCTGCAAAAAAATTATCCTTAAACACAACACCAGATATCCTAACTGTGCCAAAATTGCAGAAATTGGTCTTTGTATAGAGGTATCAAGTGTTGAATGTGAGAGGTCATTTAGTGCTCAGAACAGATTTAAGACAAAGTACAGGTATGAATAAATAAGTTTATTACTTTATTATGTTTACATCTTTTTATGAAAAATAAAATGAAAACAAATATAAAATATTCAATCAGCAACCTTCATTAATAATTTTTAAGTTCCACAGCTATTTTCAATAATGCTGACAATTTTATCATAATAACTCAAAGAAATATGTAAAATATGTGAGAAAACTTTGTTCTACATGTTTCAGAGCTGCTCTTAAAGATGAATCTCTTGAAGCCCTTATGACTGTATTTCTTCTTGGCCCTTCAGTCAAAGACTTCAACCCATCAAAATCAGTGAGTACATGGCTAAGAAGAAGAGATAGAAGGAAGAAGAGGCTCACAGAGGCATACAAACCTAGATTAGTGACTAAGAAAAAACTGTAACGTAAAGGTTTTGAATTGTATGTTAAGAGAAAAATACATATAATAAACAGAGTTAGAGAATGGTGTGTTAATTTTAATTTAATAAACCTTTGGTGCAGCAAAAAAAAGTAAGTCATTTAATTGTACTCTTTAGATTTACGATATATCTAAATTTACCCCCACATTCTGAAAAGTGGGGGTAATTACCCCCAGTGTAAAAAAAATATCTGGAACTCTGCAGATTTAATAATACGACATTTTGTCAAGTTTAGTAATTGATGACTTTGATGTTGATTATCATGTTTCTTCTAAGTTTTGGCTGTGACATACTTAAACTATTGATTTAGCTAGGCAAGACTTAACATAAGCTTCTAGTTCAAAATTAAACTGCTCAGGGCATGCGGTTCGTTTTAAAAAACAACAACAAAAAACTGCTTTACAAGCGGAATGAAATTTGATACAAAATATCTATACGAATCAAAACGAGATGTCGCCGCCCGGGAATGGAACCTCGGTCGGCGGATTTAAAATCAAAAGCTGTACCTATCGAGCTGACTGGGCGACTATTAGTTCATAAGAAAAAAAGAAGTCTAATGACTTTTGTCAGTCTATGAAAAAGTCATGTATTTTTTTTAATTTATTTATTTTTTGGTAAAAATTAAGATTGTTGATATGTTAAATTGCAGGAAATAAACGTTTGTTTATAAGTAATTCAAGCCTAGCGGATAATGTATGCAAGTATCCGTTATAGAACCATATTATCTGTCAAAATTGTCGAAACTTTAAAAATGAAAGACAAAATAAAAGATAATTCACGGGTCAAGGCTTGCTCAAAAGACACGAATTGCCAGATTAAAGCTGGCTCAAAATTCAACTCCAGCTCGAAATTCGGGTTTTGAAAATTTTGAATTTCGATCTTCGAGCTGGCTCGAAATTCAACTCCAGCTCGAAATTCAAATTTAGAAAATTTTGAATTTCGATCTTCGAGCTGGCTCGAAATTCAACTCCAGCTCGAAATTCAACTTTTGAAAATATTGAATTTTGATCTTCGAGCTAGCTCGAAATCATCTCCAGCTCGAAATTCGCCTTAAGCTTACTTTGAATTTCGATCTTCGAGCTGGCTCGAAATTCAACTCCAGCTCGAAATTCGGGTTTTGAAAATTTTGAATTTCGATGTTCGAGCTTGCTCGAAATTCAACTCCAGCTCGAAATTCAGCTTTTGTTTACTTTGAATTTCGATCTTAGAGCTAAGTTCAAAGCTAGCTCGAAATTCACTAGAAACTGAATTTCGATCTTCGATCTTCGATGTCAGTGCCAACTTCTCGATACTATTTCAACAGCGTACTTGAACTGTCTGTCTACCTACCATTCTTGTTTAAGCTTACAAGAGTAAGCATGCAATGTTTAGCCAACGATACAAACGTATTTAAAACCATGCAGGTAGTCAATATTAACTGCTCAATAATTTTGATCTTCTTGTGACTTCGAATTATTGAGCGAGATAATATTCTAGATGCATACATATCTGAACAATTGCAGCAATGACGTCCTCCTATTGATAACATAGTTCAAACACCTATTAAATATTGTTGTTAAAGTTCATAATCGAAAATTATAGAAATAAAATTACAAATTCTAACAAAAGAAGTGTATTGTGCTACAGAATACTTGACTAGGTAGAGATAAAACAAAAGGAATATTGCAATGTAACAGTTTGAAATAGATTTTATAAAACAAAATGAAGCAAATAAGGATGTCTTACAATTTTCCTTGCTTGTCTAAACGTTTTCCAACTGTTTTTGGCTTTCTTTGCCTTTTTGCTTCCAAGTAACTTAAAGACAAAATAAAAATAATTAAGATAGTGTAAACACGAATTCCGTGTACCATTTTAACTTCCACAATCTGATATGATCACTTCAATGCTGACTAAATCCGTATTAATATAGTTTGTATACTTTGTTATACTTTGTTACGAACAGTAACACCTTGCTACAATAACAAGACTTACGAAAAACACTAAAACTTTATTGATTAGGGTAAATTGTGGGGCAAAAAAAACATGATACTTATTGAAATAGAGATAATCAGTTTGGTCAAACCTTTGCTTAAACCCCAGCATCGGGTTCGTTGTTTACCGACAATGAGATTTGTACGCATAATTAAGTTGCATGAATTTGTATTACCGGTAATAACGTTCCTCAATATGCATACTTATACCAAAAACGCATGACTTTTCATGTAAAAGAAACATATCTAAGGCTAATAGAAATAAAATGATTGCAGGTCACATTCGCTGGGATTGATAATGGAATCCTTTCTACGGTCATTCGCACTTTATCGTACAGAAGTATTAAGCAGTACCTTGCGAAAGTGACTGCTTGCCCAGGAACATTGTGGTGGCTAAATTGTACTCTGGTGAATGAAAGGTGGCTCGTAGCCGTTATGTAGAGAGTAAATTGCAAACAAACAACCCAAATGATTTACAAAAATAAAACAACAAAAAGTGCATGCGCTGTGCACCAATACGCAAACATGGTATGCATTCAATACAGTGACATCAGTTAATAAATTCTTAAAGTGATTTTAATATTTATACACAAATTATAACTCACAACCTGTATTTAACCAAATTTATTCCGTACATAACCATTTTAGTACCAATAATGCTAATCATTTATTTTAAAGCAACGATTTGTCACAATTATGATTGTCTGTGGTAAGTATTTCTAGACACTAAATAAGATAAACATGCACTATAACATTTTGTTAGATGTGCAAAAATGTCAAGAAAAGTTTGAAGAATTTAATAAATATGGATTTCTGTGGCATAATGTGCCTTTCACTTGTTGTTTATATAAAAAATAAAAGCATAAATGTGTATGTTTTAAATGATGAATATATTTAAAGTCTTACATAAGGTAAATTTGCTCATACCTCAGAGAATTACGCTTGTTACTGTAAAATATGTAATAAGCTTAGGAAAGAAAGCTTATATTGAACTTCAGTATTTTCTACTTTCTATAACTTCTTATCAATACTATAGATTCACTATGTTTTTTTCCATTTGTCGACACAATTGAAATACAAGACTGTTTTATATCAAGTACAGTAATTAAATTTTCATTGGTATTTTTGGTTCAGTTGGTGACAGGAACTTAAATGTTCCTTGATGCTTTCCCTTCTTCTCCTCCACCTCTTCCTAAGCATCATCAATAAAAGCCTTTGTATCGGTTGTTGTTTATAA